TCCTATCATCTATTTGCAGGGAATGAACCAATCCAGAGAGGCGCCATAGTGCCTGACAATTAGTAAACCTACAATAAATGGTATCTATAGCTTTAATTATTTTTTCTAGCATTATCTATTAATATAGTACAGTACTATTTTAGCGAAAAGTGATCAGATTCAAGATACATGTTTTGAACATAGAGCCATCAGGATTTGTGAAATTGTTGAATGAAAGAAAGGAACAGCTGTGGGCTGGAGCCAGCTCATTAGAGCTCTCATGACTCTGTAATTAAATTTTTAGGAATTTTTTGAGCCAGTTTTTAAATACAAGCCATGAGCATGAAGATGACAAGGGCCTGGGGCACCTGTCCAAAACAAAACAAAAACACACACAAGCCATATTACAAATTAAATTATATAAACTTGTAAATAAATGAGTCATATTAAAACAAAGGCAACACATAAACTGAAAACAAAAAAACACACTATTTACTTACAATTCCCAAATTTATTTCTTCAGCCCAATCTTTCTCTGAACTTTAGATTTGTATATCCAATGTATATTCAGCATCCACTTGGTTTTCCAACACAACCTCCCCAAACACCTCCCTGCCAAAACAAAAACAAAAACCCTGCTCCTTCTTCATGTCTTTTAGTTGGTGAGGCATAGAGCCCTCTCTTTCCATATCCATCAGTGCAGCCTGCTGACTTCATAGCTTCTACTCACGTCCCAGCCATCATCATTTGTCTCTTCTCTGTAATTACAACAGTTCCCAACAGCTCCCTCTGCCCCCTGTATAATCTGTTGTCAATACAGCAGTCAATGCAGTCCGTTTAAAACTTAAGTCAAATTATGTCAGTCTTCCAGCCTGACCAACATGGTGAAACCCCGTCCCTGCTAAAAGTACAAAAATTAGCTAATCATGATGGCACATGCCTGTAATCCCAGCTACTCAGGAGGCTGAGGCAGGAGAATCGCTTGAGCCCAGGAGGTGGAGGTTGCAGTGAGCCGAGATGGAGCCACTGCACTCCAGCGTGGGCAACAAAGTAAGACTCCGTCTCAAAAAAAAAAAAAAAAAAAAAAAAAAAAAAAAAGTCAGTCCTCTGCTCACAATCTGGCAGTGGCTTCCCATCTTATGCAGAGTGAAAACCAGAGGCTTTACAGGGTAAGCAAAGCCGTGTAAGGTTTGCACACAACACCCTTCCTCCTTCCTCTGTAGCCTGGATCATTCTGCTGCAGCCACACTTGCCTAACAGTGCCTAGCACACAGTAGGTGCTAAAGGGATATATTTTGAATGAGTATATGTCACTACTGCCCCTCTGGTGCTGTGGAGGACGCATGGCATGGTGGCTAGCAGTGTGTTGTCAAAGAGCAGTGACTAAAAGTATGGTGGCCTTCTTGGATTTGAATCTGGGCTTTACTTACTAGAAACATGACCTTGGACAAGGTACTTAACCTCCGTTTTGTCAACCGTCAAATGAGGACAAAAAGTGCACCTATCTGATCGGCAGGTAGGATGTGAGGGTGAAATAGTCAGTAGAAAACACTGATAACATCTGGAACTACCTAAATGGTAGACAATAATTACCTTCATTAGAATATACGCTCCCACCTCCACAGAGATTTTTGTCTGCTTTTTAAAAAAATTTTTTGAGACAGGGTCTCACTCTGTCATCCAGGCTAGAGTGTAGTGGCACCATCTTGGCTCACTACAACCTCTGCCTCTGGGTTCAAGCAATTCTCATGCCTCAGCCTCCCAAGTAGCTGGGATTACAGGTGCACCACCACACCCAGCTAATTTTTTTTTGTATTTTTAGTAGAGATGGGTTTTCACCATGTTGGTCTTCAACTCCTGGCCTCAAGTGATGATCCACCAGCCTTGGCCTCCCAACGGGCTGAGATTACAGGCATGAGCCACCAGGATGGGCCACATTTTCTGTCTGCCTTGCTCACTACTGTATCTTTAGTGTCTAGAACAGTGTCTGATACACAGTAGATGGTCAATGAATGAAAACATTTGTTGAATGAATTAAGCTTCACCATCCCATTTCCTGCAGTATTGCAGCAGCTTCCTATCTGGATTCCTGCCCCAGACTTCCTGAGTGTTCTTCTTATTTATTTATTTATTTATTTTTAGATGGAGTTTCACTCTTGTCGCCCAGGCTGGAGTGCAATGGTGTGGTTTTGGCTCGCTGCAACCTCTGCCTCCTGGTTCAAGTGTTTCTCCTGCCTCAGCCTCCCAAGTGGCTAGGGTTACAGGCCCCGCCATCACACCTGGCTAATTTTTGTATTTTTAATAGAGACGGGGTTTCATCATGTTGGCCAGGCTGGTCTGGAATTCCTGACCTTGTGATCTGCCCTCCTTGGCCTCTCAAAGTGCTGGGATTACAGGCATGAGCCACCGCGCCCAGACTTGAATGTTCTTTAGATTCAAATCGAGTGGTTCTCAAACTTTATGATCCATCAGAATCACCTAGAGCGTGTGTTAAGCTGCAGATTGCCAGGTCCCACTCTCCTAGAGTTTCTGATTCACTAGGTTGGTCTGGGCTGTGCTTACCTATCTTGCCTATTTTCTACCCTATCTTTCCCTTGTTCTGACTCTATTTCCTTTTGTCTGTACTGCATCCATTGTGGAAAGAGGAGGAGATAAAAAAAGTGAGCAAATATATAAGATCACAAGCATTATCCTCACCTGCCTTTCCTGGAGCTCCAAAGTCTGTGAGATTCTTCAGACAACAGACTCACATCAGAATTTGTTGTTAGGTCTCCATAACCCTGCCAGGGTAATTGTTCACATGTGTTCTAAGACAGACCATCGAAGGTGTTGCCAATAGTATACTAGCAGGCTATTTTACCTAAATTAGTAATTATGTTATCTATACCTCTCTACGTCACCTCTCCTCCCCCTCCGCAAGATTTCATGGGAATTTGTATTTAAATAGAACTCTGAGTATCATGATTGCAGGAATATCACTAGGGATGACATTTTTTTTCCCTTTCTTAATTTTTTCTTGAGACAGAGTTTCACGCTTCTTGCCCAAGCTGGAGTGCAATGGCATGATCTCGGCTCACTGCAACTTCCTCCTCCCAGATTCAAGTGATTCCCCTGCCTCAGCCTGCTGAGTAGCTGCGATTACAGGCATGTGCCACCACACCCAGCTAAGTTTGCATTTTTGGTAGAGAGGGGGTTTTTCCATGTCGGTCAGGTTGGTCTCGAACTCCCGACCTCAGGTGATCTGCCTGCCTCAGCCTCCCAAAATGCTGGGATTATAGGCGTGAGCCACCATGCCTGGCCTTGTTTTGTATTTTGAGACAGAATCTCTCTCTGTTGCCCAGGCTGGAGTGCAGTGGCATTATCTCGGCTCACTGCAACCTCTGCCTCCCAGGTTCAAGTGATTCTCCTGCTTCAATCTCCTGAGTAGCTGGAATTACAGGCATGTGCCACCACTCCCGACTTCGTGTATTTTTAGTAGAGACAGGTTTTCACCATGTTGGCCAGCCTGGTCTTGAGCTCCTGACATCAGGTGATCCACCCGCCTCAGCCTCCCAAAGTGCTGGGATTACAGGCGAAGCCCGCCCGGGATGGTATTCTGATTCCTAATTTCCCTGGTCGGAAATCTTTCTTCCTGGATTTATTCTCATGTTACTTTGCGTCTCTGATTTTGTTTGCCATATTCTGCAAACATGTTGTCTCCAGATAGTGTGAATGCTACCCAAAGGCTTGTCACTGTGTTGTGCACAAAATGGGACTTCAAGTGTTATGGAGCCCTGGTAGGGCTCATGTGTGTAACCCAGCATTTTGGGAGGCCAAGGTGGGCGGATTGCATGAGGACAGGAGTTCAAGACCAGCCTGGTCAATGTGGTGACAACTCGTCTCTGCTAAAAATACAAAAATTAGCTGGGTGTGGTGGCAGGCACTTGTAATCCCAGGTACTCTGGAGGCTGAGGCAGGAGAATCACCTGAACCAGGGAGGCGGAGATTGCGGTGAGCTGAGATCGCACCACTGCACTCTAGCCTGGGCCACAGAACTAGATCTTGACTCACTCAATCAATGTGTTCTAGGCTGTTTAATTATACTGTTGAAGGAGATTTGATAGGAAGGAGCACAATAAACATCATTGTATTGCAGAATATTCAAGAGACCAAAGAGACCACTGGGTGAAACAGAAGGATTTTACGAAAGTGGCCACCGGCTCAGCAAATTACTATCCAAGGCTAAGCAAAGGAGAAAGAAAACGGGGTACTTTTTATACATCCAGGATGACATAGCATTTAACAGGTTTACAGAAGCCAGAACAAAGAACAGTTAATTAATTTGTAACATGTTTTGTGATGTATGTTACATTTGAGAAATAGCATTTTGAGAAACGCATTGTACATTCTTTCGGTGTTATCTTGCCCTGTGACCTTGCAGCTGGTCAGCAAGAAAAACAGGAGCCTTGAGATGCCTGGGAACTTTGCTGAGAATGTGGGGAGAATCGAAAAGACAGGTTTTACAGGGAGTTAATTTTAAGTAGAGCTGGGGGTTAGGTTTTATATTAAACAGCACACAGCAAAACAAAATTTATTATATAGCAACTACAAATTATAACGTTTTGCTTTTACTATTATTGCTATTATTTAATTCTCTTCTTCAATTGTGGTTATTTGGTGAATTTTAATACAGTACTTTAACAAACCTTTTCATAAAGTTGCTTTGGTTGTCAAAAAAATTGTGACCTTTCCTCCTATCAATAACTTCCTAAAGTATAGCTCAAAAAGGTGGGGGGGGGGGGGGGGGGCCAGGAGAGAGGGAGCAGCTGAGACATTATTGGAATCTTATTTGCCTCAAGATCACGCAGAGACAGCTTATTCAGTTGGTGGATTATATAAATAGAACAGAGAATTCATAGTTACTGAATCTACCATGAGTTAGATACAGACTTTCTCATACAATCCTCACGGTTATCCCACAAGGTTAGAAATTGGGAAGAGAAGAGAAAGAGGGGGGAACTGAACTCTGGTTTCTACGGAAGCGGAACCAAGAATGATTTCTAAGGGCAGCTCCGCAGCCCGCTCGCCTCATCGGCTGGGGCCGCCAGATCTGGAAGTTTCGGTTTCCGTTCGCGCGACTGCACCTGCACAGACACCGGCAACTCCTAACCAGAGCAACACCTGCGTTTGTTTGGCAGGAACGAGCTTTGCACTGGGCGGGACTCAGGGCCCACCGCGTGCGGCGCAGCGCGGGCGATTTAAACCCCAGGCAGCCGGCGCCTGGAGCCCTACCGGAAGCTCCTTGGCGCTGCCCCCGGTCTCTTGGCTTCTCTCATTGGACACGGCTGCGTTCGGCCGGCCAATGGCGAGGCGGCGCTCAGCTTCCCGGAAGTGGTGGCGCGGTAGGGGCAGGCCTGGGCTTCCTCTGCGGGTGTGGGGTCCGCGGCGTTGGTATCGGTGGCACTATGAGTTCCTTCGAGGGACAGATGGCCGAGTATCCAACCATCTCCATAGACCGCTTCGACAGGGAGAACCTGAGGGCCCGCGCCTACTTCCTGTCCCACTGCCACAAGGGTGAGTGAGTGCTGCGCGCAGCCAGCTCCCAGGGCGCGGGTGGCTGGAGAGAGGACGGGAGGGCCCGGCCCTGGAGCAAGGGCCTGCAGCCTGTGGGAGGCCAGCGAGAGAGGGGCCCGCACACCTTGTCCCCGTCGGGCTCTTCAGCCTTTCAAAGGCTTCATCTATTTTCGGATCTGGGCAACGCGGCGTAACGGCGCCTGCCAGTTGCGCCCGGGCCAGCTTGATCAGGCACTCCTAGTAGGTTCCCTTGGTAGCTCTGCTGGTGGCCGATGGTCAGAGATGGGCGAGGGTTCTTCCCCCAGAGCCTCGCCACCCTGTATAAAGAAAACAAGTTTCAGATCCGTTTGACCACACCCTGAAACATCGGTTAGCAAGCAGGCACACTCAGACACACACAATTATGAAACAGCCCACTTGAGAACTCCATGAAGTACAAGCTTCCTGGCCTTTGGATGTTCTCTCTGCATGCAATATAAAAGCTTTGCTCCAGTCTAGGATGGCGGGATTTTACCCTTCTAGATGGTATCAGGCAACCAGAAGAGCAACTATGATTTTACAGCTGGATCCTTTCACAGCTGGACGGATTTAGGGAATTAAAGTTAGAGTGTCGCTGTTAGGAGCTGGAGGCTAGATACTCCAGGCAGAGACTGGAGCTAATTTCCAGAGTTTAAATACCGCTAATTTCACAACCATTGTTCATTTTCGCTTCTTTTATGCTAATAAGTCACTAACTTTTACCAGTGAAAACAGTTTTAATGCTCATTGTGCTAATTAGCTCGTCCATTAGTATTAATTGGAGAAAATGATCAGCTGCATCTCTGGAGTTGCTGCCTGCTGCTGTGTGGCCTTGCAGAGTGCTGGAGCAGGAGGATGTTCCCACTACCCTGTGGAGTCAATCAGTGTCACAAACCCATCTGCACATGCACAGTGGGAAAATGTTTTAAAGTAAATTACAGGTATCCAAACACTGCCTTTCCTCACATGATTGGTGAGAAGGCCAACTGTTGTCTTATATGTAGACTCCATCACTTGGACTATAAATTGTTGAAATTACTACTTCTGGGAAATGTCTCTGCTTTTTTTCCACAAAGCCATCAGTGATTTCTTTCTTTTTTTTTTTTGAGACGGGGTTTCGCTCTTGTTACCCAGGCTGGAGTGCAATGGCGCGATCTCGGCTCACCGCAACCTCCGCCACCTGGGTTCAGGCAATTCTCCTGCCTCAAC